TCCCCTCCTTCCTTGGTCTTTACACGTGTCCATGATATATCAGCGTCCGTCCTCCSTGATACTGAGACACTCACAGGACCTGAGGTTGCTCCTCTCGATACTCCTCAGCATACAGATGTCCATCCTCACGAGGACATCCATGCTCAGCCCAGTGGCAATCCTTTTGATGTCACTGGAGGCCCCTCGGGTACTTCCTCTTCCTACCCTTTTTTTTCTTCTAACCTTGAGCCTTTTGCTCATCTCTCTTCTTTTCCAGAGACTTCTCTAGTACCACCTTCTGGTACTGGAGAAACAGAGAAAGATGATGGAGGAGATGCTGGAGTTAGAGAATCCGGCGCTGGGGATGAAGAAATTGATGAAGACAATGATAATGATTATGACATGTCTTCAGATATCAAGCTTCTCCTTCCTGCTGTCGACACCGTCCTCTCCAAGGTCACMGAAGTCCACCAAGAGATGCCTCGCCAAGGTGATCTTGATGCCAACTTCCTAGCCCTCCAGACGGATTTCGTAGAAGTTCAGAGTCAGCTCCAGACTCTCCAGGAAGCTGTTCAAATTAACAACAATGCCCTCGCTGCTCTCCACAGACGGGCTGACGATGCTCAAGCTATAGTTGAACAGCAGACTGGTCTTCTTCAGCAAATCCTGGATGCTGTCCGTCAACCAGCTCCAGTGATGGATCCCTCCTTCTCTGTCGATGATCGCACGCTTCTCTCTCAAACGCGTGAGGCAACGACAACTCTAGCCAATGCTTTGCAAAGGCTGGAGGCTTCAATGGTTCTCCAGTGTCAGCGCTTGGACGAACTCTCTGACAAAGTCTCTCAAGTATTGGTCAGAGAGGGGGAGATGAGGTCCAACGCTGGTGAATCATCAGATGCAGGTCCTACGCCTTCTCAGGCTGTTGGCCCAGTATCAGCTTCTAACGCAGCTAACACTGAGGCTCCTAGAGCTGAGGTTGTTTGTGTTGCTCCTGTAATCCCTACCACCGAAGCTGCTCAAGCTGAGGTTGTAGATGCCATCCCTAGG